AATTGCTGATTGTAGATAATGAATAGATTAATGGCTTATTGTTAGCGCAAAATAAATTAAATAGGCAAAAGTTTTACGATTAGCAGTTAATGATCACTTAAGTTTTAATGGCTATTCGCTCTGCTAGTTAACAATCAGTTATGATGAATATTTAATGGAGCGGAATATTAATAACTTATTAAACATAATTGATATTGGATACAGTATTCGAACATTATTAGTATAATAAGTGATCGGAGATCAAATAATAATGCGTTCGAACGAAGTAACTAATGCGTTCGCGAATTGGGTTTCTTCAGATTTGTTCAGATAAACACCGAATCATCTTAACCGAAGGGAAGAAATTCCGTCGACGAAAAGTTGCCTCCAAAAAAATAAGAATTCATCAGTGAGTGCAGAAAAACAAGAAGGAATTATGTGAGAAGAATGAACGGGTTGTGGATGATGGATTCAAGAGTACGACAAGAATCTCAGCAAGCCAACTTCAGATCAGCGAGATTTGAATTCATCTGCGGTTCGGACTGTACTCTTGACACACCAAGATTGGATCGTTTCGGTACCGCATGAAATTCATCAATAACCTCAACCATTTGCATACCTACAAGTAAATTCTATAATTCGATTATCTTGAAAATTGATATTTTACGAAATGCAGCGAAAAACTTTCACTGATATTATCATATTTTGATTTTATATTCTCATTATATGATCGGATTGTAAATATGCTGATTAAAAATGCCAGAAATTATAGGTCTGTTTAGAAAATCATTGCTGAGCTCAACGGGAACCACTACCAACCAAGGAATAATTCATAGATCCACGCTCCGAGAACCCCACCAGTCAGTGGACCAATGATTGGAATCCAAAACCATGTGTAGTTTCGATAACTGTAAAACAATATTGGTTATGTTCGAGGACAACAAGAAACTTTTGAACATTTTCGAACAACTTAATGAGCAAAAACGATCTGCAATCAATCAATCTCCGAATTTTATGCTTGATTCATCGTTGTCAATAGTAATCAAGCAATATGCCATTCAAATTCCCTTGTGTTAGAGTACATTTCCGCGGGGAAATTTTGAGATAAAGCGCAATAAACTTATACAAATTCCAAAAATTTTCAACACTGAATATTTTCGCGCATTATCCTTCGCTAGAGTCTCACTTGTTTCCTGCTCATTGTTAGGTTTCAAATTAAGAGAATAAGGTG